TTTCTTTTGACTGACCAATTTCGGACATGCCAAGTAGTCCAACTAGATATGCCGCTTCCATATGGCCTGCCGTGGCTGCAACGCGCATCCCAGACAATGGTTCCACATTACAGTGCCTGAAAAATGCGTCGAACGCTTCTCTAAATATCGCCTCAGAGTTCTCGCAAGCCCTGCATTGTTCCACGAAATGCCGGACCTGCGTTGAGGCATAGTACCAGTTAGGATGGTGTTGGTACTTTTCCATTAAAATCGTGTTCCACACTTGTGGAGTGTTTGTCAACGTATTGAACAATGGGTTCATAGATGCCATACGAAAGAGATCTTCCGATGATTGGGTTGCCACGTATAACATCACTTTAAACCAAGCTAATTCCGGGATGAAGGCTTGAGGCACATCCAGATGGAGATGCTTCCTTCTCTTTCCTCCGACTGTAGTGTAATGTTTCAAATTCATTGAAATATTTTTGGAATGGAAAGATTTGAGGACTGCAAGAGGGGAGAAATGAGAATATACGGGGTTTTGAGTTTGTTTTAGCTTCTGTTTGCACTGTTTTGAAAAAGTGTTTCCTTGGGGTTTTTCCAAGTTGATCCTTTTTAAAGAAACTGAACCCAACACCCAAAACATAAGATAGGCGAAGGGAAAACGTCATCGAAATGCAAAGGAAGTCAGACCGTCCAAAAGTTATTTAATAACCTATTTCCATAGTCATTGTTAGGCTTTTCCCGCCATTAAATTCATTGATACAAATGTGATGGATTACTGACTACTGACAGAAGGTCCCATCAGATACTTTTTCATTTTCCCACACCACACTATCCCTAGTAAATGACGGATTCTTATCCAACTAGTTGCCTTAATGAAATATAAAGAAAATAATATATTTAAAATAGTGTCCCCTCAATTTTAGGATTAATATTTGGTAGTGAAATAATATATCGCTTTTAGAAGTAAAAGGTGTCACAATTCTGACAGTACAGGTGTCCTGATCGAGACCAACCCACCCACACACAGAAAAGAAGGATATAATTCGATTTGGGTAGAGATGAGAGAGAGCTGAGTGAGAAGTTTAGGGTTATGAGTGAACGGGTATGACTGAGAAGGTATGAGTCCAAAGGTTTCAGTGAGAAGATCTGAGTGAGAAAAGGTACAAGTGAGAAGATTCAACATGTCTTCGTCTTCATCTCCCGCTCAAACAAAGAGGTGGCAGTATTGTAGAGCTGCAATGGTGCTTCGGGTTTCAAAATCAGATAAAAATCGAGGGAATCCATTTTGAAAGTGTCTAACCTCATATGTAAGTTTTCATTTCCAGAATA